TGGTTCAAAGCTCAGTCGCAATCAGCTGCATCTAAGCATCAAATTAAAACAAAGAAAAACTTAAGTAAATAAGAAACTTAATTGTAGATATAAAGTAACAATCAGAGAAGATCGATGGGTGTCTAAACGATGAAAAAAAGTCTACTTTGAATACATAATCAGAAGTCAATTCGAATCGATTTCTTCAACTTTTATTTGTTAGTAGGAATCTTTTTAGAAACTTTGAACACATACATGAATTCCATATTTTAATCTCACAAGAAGCAGCACTGGAAAGTTTTTTTTTTATTAAAGAACTATTCAATGGATTAAAGGAAACATAAATATTCGTATTCAAAATACTACGCATCTCATCTTTTTAAGACTATCTAACTAACTAGAGATTCAAATGTTCTGATGGATATTGAAGTCCGATACGTGCATCTTGTGTATATTGTGTTATTTCAACAGTCAATGTTCCTGTATGTATGTATACTGATGGATGATCAGTTCGGACAACAGCTTCGATTACATATAGTTTCGGTGGTAAATAGACTAATTCATATTTAGTACATGTATAATAGGTACCAGCAGAGTTTGAACTGCGCATAAATGAAGCGCCATGCGAATCTACTTGAAACAAGTCATTGCCAAGTTTCGGAACATAAGAATATTGATTATTTGTGTTCGGTAATAATTTATTGTCAATGAGAATCATGTCATTAATCATAAAGTGTATATAGCTGTGAGCAAATTGAGTCATGTAGCAGCCAGCTGAAAAGTGAATTTTATATAACATCGGTGTCTCATGATTAACAGAAACTAGAAGACCAGGTATTTTAACAAATGTTGACGAGACTGTATCTAAGTCGAATCGAAACATTGGTATATGTTTGATATAGAAATATTGAGCACTAATAAAGTTCGAATTACTTAACGAACTTCCCACCCTCGGAATGTTTATAATTTCATTTGGAATGGTAGTATTGTTTGAATGAACAGATTGTAGAATTATCGAACTGAAAATCGCGATCAATAATGAAGATAACATTGATATATAATCTTTTGCAACGTTACTAACGTAGTAGTATTGCTTGTTCTTTTGATAGTTGGTCGTTTTCACTTCTATTTATTCACGCAACAAACCGATAAATATTGGCTACTTGAATCATTTATTTTATTTTATTTTACTGCAAGTTTTTCTAGACAGATTTGCATGTATGTAATCATCTGCACGAATTGTCTACTCATTATGACTAAAAATTATTCATACAGAGACAATATTTGCATAATCTGAACAATAAAAGCAGAAAAAACATCTCTTTTTCAATCTGAATAAATTTTCCTCTCGGAATGCGTTTTATTTTGATTGTAATCGATGCAAATTAAAGACTTGTTACACTAAGTGTAATTGCTATATCGCAGTAAAAAACATGTGAATTATGCTGTGCTAAGCTTAATAAAAAAAGAACATTCAAAGCGATCATATAATACGTTTCGATATTTGTTCGGATCGAACGAGCTTGAATAAACATATAACTGGTTAAACCACTACGTTTCGACTTGAAGATAAAGATCATACTAGAATGAGGATAAGGATGTGCGACTGAGAGAGAAAAGTAACAGAAAGTCGTCACCCACACCCTATGTGACCATTTGTTTTCTTTTAAAAAAAAACAAGAATATTGTGAGTGTAGAGTGGTTTTTAGGCATTACATACGAAGCATGCGTTGCTTCGGTTATTCCAATTGCATTTTGCATGGAGCCAGTAGAAATTTTCGTCTGATTCCGGGACTCCTGACGGGTTCTGTTGTTCAAGATATTGCAATAATTCTACAGTCAATAATTACTGTGCGGCCTTTTAATTAAACTCATCTGTGGTATCATCTTATACTTTAAGTTGCTGAGGGAGGCGTAATGGTTTTGTAACACCCTTTATATATATGTCATTTGTCTGGATATCCCATTATTTCATAGTTTAATCCTCATTTCCTCGTTATCTTACTTTATTCATCCGATGTTCGGACCAATTTTTCGTTGTCATTGCTGTTCATCTTCTGGAATCAACGATAAACTCAAGAAAGAAGTACAACGCGAAACCTTTTTTCTTACCTACGTCAATGATACATCGCGTTTTTCGTGTTGAGAATATTGACAATCTTTTGGTAAGAGCGAAAACTTGATAAGGAATGAAAGAAACAAGGTCTACTCTTTCTCCATGAAAGTTCATTGTTGTTCAATGCTGAGAACTGGCTCTTAGATGTTGCTGATTTCAATCGAATTCAAATGGAAAATGAAGAATATAAGTTAGATTCATTCGGTTCTCGTTTCGAGATGTCTTTTTACAAGATTTCGTCGAACTATTCTAGCTCGATCTCTTCTTTTCGTTTCTGACTGTTTATTAATTGTCCATTGGATGATGCTCATCTTCAAGATATTATCATAGCTCAAGCAATATTCAATAATGCATTGTTGAATAATGTTGATTTTCGTGGAGCAAAAATCGATTTAGTCTAGTTTTATAATGTCAATCTAATGGAAACCATTCTCAAAAAATCAATTCAAAATTCCTTATTACCAGATGGATCATTTTCACCAATAGATGAATTTCATCTTAACGTAAGTGAATGTTCACCACTTAACGAATGGTTTATAAAACCAGAAGACATTGTCGTCATTGAAATTTGTTCGTTCATGTCAAGTAATTCGAGTATGACAATGGAGCACATGATTTATTCATCCGTAAATAGTCATTCGATGCAGAACTTTGCTATCTATTCTAATTGGTATTCTTTTTACCAGCACGGACAATGGTATTTGTGAGTTGAACCAAATGAGTAAGTGTCACTATATTGAACAATCTTTCTGCTAAAATGAAGTTTTTCCATCTAATTACTTAAAACTTTAACATTCTATTAAAAAATCATCATTTTCATTGAACGAAAGGATCTTATTAATGCGGCGAGACGAATATTTTGGTCGCATTTTAGTACACACTTATTTCTGATAGGTCACATAAAAGTCAACGCGCTTGAATACTTAAAATTCCATTCATTATGTATGTCTTTTTCTAGATTACGTAGCAGGACATTGTCCATGTCTGTTCGTATCATTTTCATATTCCGGCATACACACAACGCATTTCGATCAGATCGCGTAGTCAAAAAAAAACATATCTACGTTGTAAACTTTTTTGGAGAAGTATCTTTGTGTTGGAATGATATATTTTGGTGTGTTGTTCTAGCAGTACTTTGGTTGAATATACAATTTTTTCTAATAAATGACATAGTATGTAGTAGCGTATCCGGGAAATCATGGGTGGGGAGGACACTGCCCGCCGTCTTTAAAAACTCCCTCCATTTCAGTTAAAATATTTTCTTCAGTATCAATCAAGTTTTTCAATTTCCTAACCCCTAATGAGTGATACAAAACAAAGAAAAAAATGGAAACAGGTAAAAAAAATTATGATTTCAACATTATTCGACCGTTCTTATGCTAAATTACTAAAGCATCAGTTATGTTTTCATAAATAACAGTAATACCTCCATCTCGATGGCTAATAAAGACAAATCAAACCGTCTAATATCAGACATACTATTGCGTGCAGTTATTTTAATAAGCTTTATTTGGGTGAAAGCAGTAGATACTCATTTTGAACTCTAATAGAGTTTGTATCCCAACGACATGCACATGAACAGTAAATGAACCATTTAACTGTTCGAAAAGACTTTTGCCCGCATCACTACATTTTTATTTCAGTATTTAGGCATAAGAGCGCTTAACGTTCCCCATCAATACTCATCTCTGTATACATAATTCTTGGAAGCCTAAGATACCTTCAAAAAGACTTGTCAAGACTTTACAGATTTCCTACAAAATCTCTTTTGGTACCGTTTGGTATCTTTTCTTCAGTGAAGTCCATCATCAATTTACCGTTTGCTTGCTTAGTAATTGGATAGGTGACATTGACTCAAATATCTTGATTCCAATTCAATTAGTACATTTATGGCTTCAGAATAAAAAATTTGGCTTTTTAGTAGCAACGTTGTTGCTCAAATTTTAAAACTTCGCTTATTTTCAAATGCGAATTAGACATCTACACCCTACATACTACCCATACTCTCTACCCTTTTTGTTTCGTGTATTACTCTAAAGTTATAAAAAGATGTAAGTGATTGCTGATTATGATTTACATACTCACCCTTTTCCTTCGAACAGGAATATATCTTTGTCAAGTAAATCTCGTTTAGAGTTGAAAGGTGCTCCCACTGCTTGCCAACTGAATTTCTAGATCTATATAATATGCCAGAAAAACGATAAAAACTTCAAGATAATTATTAATTTTTCTTTCTCGCAGTGGGAGAGCGGCGCCCTCTCTAGCCACTCCCTAGGTACGCCACTAGTATACTGGATCGTCTCTCTCATGCAATGACTCCTAGAAACATGTCTATTTCTTTGAAAAAGACATTATTTTTGGAAAACATATAGCCTCTCTATAATGGACACTTGAAAAGGTCGAAGAGTATCCGTTATAGAGAGGTTTTACTTACTACGGTTGAAAACTTTTTACTATGTGAAGTTTCAATAGGACGAAAATCTCAGTGAGGATGCCAATGAAGAGAAGATACTCCTCCACCCATCTATACCGTTCAAGTTTCGTCTATTTAGGATCACATCACATTCGGAAAGGAACATATTTCATCTTTTTCGACAAAAAATAAAGATAGATAAAAGTATGCATACAATAAGAGGTAGCGGAAATACAATAATAAATAGAGTCATCCTTCCTTCAGCTGTTTTTGTTAAACCTGTCAAGGTTGACGGTTGATTTAATGAGTTTGAAATGCATGTTCCATTCAACGCTAATGGCAGACAAACTGTCTGTGCACAACCCGAATCAATAATACAAACGGATGATAACGGCGAACAAGACTGACAATTAAGAAATGCGGAACATTGAAATTTCGATGTACAGAAATCAGTATTATTTGATGTTTTGTAACAAAAACATTTGGAATTTATTAATGAGTTACTTGTGACTGACGAAAAGAGTTGCGTTGAATACGATTCTACGAACAAAAAAAAATCCGAAATTATCATCACAAAAAAATAAATGAATTGATCGAGAGAATTACCATTGTTACGAATACAGTTATAATCTTCCGTACATCGTCTTCGTCTTACTTGACTACACCATGTTGAATCTTTTAACTCTTCTGCAGCTTCTGTCCAATTGTTCATTTGTAATGCTTTTTGCATTTTAAGAAATTGGCTCAATACTCTACAACCAGTAAAAGCTACATCAATAATTGCGTTTCGTTTTATTGGCGGTAAATTAGGAACATATTTATCAGCACATTGTGTAGCTTCTTGATAGGAAATTCTGTTAAAAATATCTTCAGCTTGTTCATTCGTCAAACAATATTTACTTGTGTTTCTTTGACAATCACTTAAAACATTTGAAAGTGTCAAATTATACGTTAACATGACCGTTTCGGAATTGTTTCGTGTAAGTTGATATTCAATACCAATAGTTGGTATACCATTGGTATCATTACGACAACATAATTGTATTCCTTGATTAAAAATGGTTTGTTTTGGACCACAGATTGTTGATGTCAATCTTACACATGTAAGAAATAAGAATATTTTCAACATAGCATTTAATAATCTTGTAGACTGAATAATGAAAAAAGGAAGAAATCGTAATAGATTGGAAGTGATTTAAAACCAGACAAAACGGAAATACAGAACGAAAACTGGGTAGTATTTTTTTCTTTACATCTGCATTAATTAATAAAATGATTTATATATTTTTTTTCTTTGCATAATATATTTCTATAGAGGCAAAAATCGATTTTGATAAATTTTGTCATTCATAAATCATAATAGCCGATTGAGTGATTACAAAAAATGCAAAGTCGAATGTTATTTAGATAATAACCATTCAATAGTGAATGTAACTATTATCAATCTGATTTCATTGCATACTAGTCTCACAACATGGATTTCATAATGTCTATAATTAATACTTGGATTGAATGATGAGTGAAACAAAAATGATCGAAACCTCGCTCACTCTATCCTGCCTTATCGATCAGAGAAAAAAAAGAGGCAGTCACTGAGAAGGTCGCAATGATTCAGGTAACTCGTGAAATAGTTGTTAATATATGTATATCAATGAATTATAAATGCTAATTTGACTAAAAACTCGTTCGCAAAAAATTGGACCTTATAGATAATCATAAATCGATTGGTTTCCAATTTTTGACCATTTTTCTTTGAACAGAACAACATGTCTATGTCCAATTGTCGATGAGTTAATATGATGCTGTTCATAATCTGTAAAAGTTATCGATTCATTGCTTGATAAATGTAAAATTTTATTAAAGCTTTCAAATTATGAGAAGGAGAAATAGAACCAAGAAGAGATCGGCTGACTTCATTGTCTTGCAAATTACATATTTATTATGTATATAAAATTTTCTCTTTCTAGCTATTTTGATTATATAAATATATGCGTATATATTTATATCCACTCTCTCTCTCTCTCCTGTCGATAATAGAACCCATAGGATAGTGATTTGAAATGAAGTTTTTTTTCTTTTGGAATTTTCTTTCATTCGATTCACTATAAACAGAATACACATTATACAGGGTGTCTCATAAGTTCTGATCCCTTTTAAATAATGCACTTTTCTTACTTGTTTGTCGATAGAATGGACTAATATTTACAGCATATATACTAGACACCCAGATCACTCGAACGTTCTGTCATTTCTCCACATGGTTATTGGTGGAGAAAAATTGTACAATCTCTTTTTGACTGGTGGTCGCAATATGCAGAAACAGCAAACTTTGTGAACGAATTACATGACCAGACAAATCGTCTCTTAGTGATCACGTGACTTCATAGATGGTTGCCAACTCTTCTTCTTTTTTCCGCTATCCCGCGTTTTCGTATAAAAACGTGTAGTATGTTGAAAATACGTACAGAATAAAACCTGCTATTGTTGAATTAAATCGTATTTTTTACATGGACAGTGAGTCATCATTCTGATTATCTGATCCATATATAGTCAATGGAAGAACACTAAAAGTTTTTCTCTGTAAGAGAGACTGTACTCTAATTTCTTATTTGTGAAGTAAAAACAATATTCCGCTCTCAACTGATAGTTAATTCTTTTTCAACTTATTTTGCGTATTTTATTTACATAAAAGAAATTCAAACGATTTTTTTGTGATCCATAGATAGTGAGATTATAATTGAAGATGAAAATAATCATGAAAATTTAATAACAACAACACCAGTTCTAAAATCAAATGCAAATAAAAATGTGAACGCCGCGTCAAATGCTTGTGAAAAGAAAAAAAGACGGTCTTTCATCCACAGCGGTTACTTGATTCTCAGCGCGGATCATTTTTACGAGAGTATAAACCGGATTCAACTAAAGTTCTTTGCATTGCCTGCAATGAACATTTTTCACTAGATTATGACGGAAAGAATGATATTGACCGACACATAAAGTTGAAAAGGCACATCAGTAACATGAAGTCGTTTAGTATAAATCGGCAATTGATAACTTCGAGAATGAAGCCAAATAAGGAGGCAGAAGAAGTAGCAGCTGCATAAGATACTGTTGTATGCCATGTAGTGAAACATGATTATTCTTATTTAAAAATAAAAAGGAATGCCATAGATATGAAAAAATGCTTAAAGTTCTCAGAAATACTAAAAATCTGCAACAAAAAAGTTTCCGCTTTTTGGACTTCATGAGTTGGCAACCTTGTTTGTGCAACACCTTTCAAACGCATCATTGGCACTGATGAAGATATTATAACTGTTACATTAACATTATAAATGCTTTTCTTGATCAATTTGACAAAACAATCTACACAACTAATTTGGGATTAAATAATTGGAATTTATTTACTATTATTACTAGTCAAAACGTTGAACTTATTTCTGTTCGTCCACTTGCTGCAATACTAATTTCACATCCATATCGTTGTTCAGTCGAAGATCAACGAGTTCTATCTCGAGCATTGCCAATTTTAATTGTCTTAGCAGAACAATCGTTAGCACCAAATTTCGTCGATCCACCTGTTGTATATCCAGATGATAGAAATGTCTTTAAGTATAACCAATTTGACTGAACTAAATAAAATATTGGCTAAAGAATGTTTTTGAAAATTTGTTTGATCGAAAGAAAGAAGTTGAAGCTGATTTTTCTATTGTTCAATTCTATACGTTGACTTACAAGGACTGTTACAATCTGGTTTCTGAACTTCAAAATGTGGCCGGAAATAATTATTCAGGGGTTCCTTTTACGTAAATAGATTTAGAGAATTTTCTGGTCTCTTTGGCGGGCTTTTTTTTTACACATCACGATAACTTTCTTTCTTCCATTGACTATCTCTCTTTTCTGTCTTCTTAGAAATAGAAGCTCCATGGATGAAATCTGACTGAAAGTGCTCAATACAGTGTATTCGATTGTTTGCTCATGATCTATCGATCGAACTCGAGCACTTTTAGACTACTACTTAAAATACAGTTGACAGTAACTCATATGTGCATATATAAATTGAAAACGAATGAACGATATTATTTGCTCATAAGTACATATGAAAATCTTGTGTTTTCAATGGTTTGTAATCGATATGAAGTTCTTGTCGTGTTGTTTTAACGAATAAGCCTATTATTCTTCATTCATGCTTAGATACGATCGAGTAAAAAGGTAAAGCTGAAAAAAAAACGAATCGAAATCAATACAAATGCATCATACATTGTCATCTTGATGCCAAAAGTGGCGCCTACTTATGGTATTGATGATCAAATATCGTCCATTTGGAATATTTACATTTCAAATTTTTGAATAGATATGCTTTTTATGAAGAAAGACTGCTCTTTCGGTTAATGTTCATCTAATTACTTTTCTATTAATAAATCAGTAGAAGGTTGAGTAAACGATATTACCCAACTTGTATATTGAAATGACGAAACTACTGTAACAAATTACACTGCTTTACGAGAACAACATCTGTTTTCAACACATACTGTATGGTGATATAAACAAACGCATGTCGTAAAATCATTCACATACACAATCATAACTGTGCCTTTTGGTCTTTAATTTTGTCTTCGAAATATGAAAAAAGAAATATTGTTGTGCGTAAAAATAAATTTCACCAAAAAGCATCTAAAGTTCGCATTTTATTAGAGAATAGCGAATATTTACTGCAACTCAAAGGTGTTCTACTTGAGTGTGGTTAGCTGCTTTCATTTATTCTCTCATCTTTGCAAAATAAAATGAATCCTTTCTGAAAAATTTCTTTTTATTCAAGCACAGTGCCTATATTGATCTTTGTAGTGTATAATCTTTGACAGCTTTGCGTTCTATTGCTTCGATTGTTGTGACGCCACTTTCTATATCATTGCCAAAATAAATAAATATTCTTCGCTCGTCCTGTGAAAATAGCATACTGTGCTTCTTTCCTTTTTGTATACAACATATGACTAATGAAAGAACAAAAAGACACAAAACATTGTCATGATTCTCATATTTTCTTTCCTTTTGTAACATGATGAAAGTTTTACTGCGTTGAATAAAAGTTATGTCAGCTGAGTCAGGCCATGTTAATTAATTATGATGAAAGGCAATAACGTATTCGCCATACCAAGAAAAGTAATTTTCTTTTGTAGATTTTCATCATGGCAAATGACAGAGATATGAATGATCATGAAGTCTTCCAACTTCATATTGGATCAGCCGGTGTCGAAATCGGTCATCGATGTTGGGAATTATGTTGCCTGGAACACAATTTAGCTACTGATGGCAGTATCGTTAACGAAACAGAACAAAGCATTCCTCCGGCATGTTTTTTCTCGGAAAAGAACGATGGTAGCCAGAAAAACTATCATCCTCGTGCTCTATTAATTGATTCTCATTCTTCAACCATCGAAAAGATAAAATCCAGCAAATACCGAAATCTATATACCGACGATCAGTTTCACTTATTGACAAATTCTTGTGAAGTGATTCTGGACAAAATTCGAAAGAAAATCGAAGATTATGACAATTTCCAAGGCTTTATAATATCTCATGCTACATATGGTCAATGTTCAAGTTTTATTTCTGAAATTTTACAGAAACTAACGTCCGATTACTCAACGAAAACTATTGTGACGAATTCCATATTTGGTTCATCCATTGATGTTAACAGTATGTACAATCTATTGAAATATGCTCATGTCGTTATACCCATGGAAAACAAAGCTATTTTCGATCTGTGTAAACATCGACTTGAGATTGACACGCCCGAATATGTAAACATGAATAGACTGATCGCTACGTGTTGGAGTCATATTACATGTTCCATGAGATTTCAGGGTTGTTTGCTAGCAGATTTGAACGAATTTCAAACATCACTCATTCCTTTTCCCAACTTGAAAATGCTCTCATCGTTTCTTTCACCATTAATACCATCTTCACACAGTACACACACTGATTTCAAATCACCATCAGTATATGATATGTGCGTTCCATTATTCTCTCAAGCCAATACTTGTTGTATACATCAGTTGACTCCATACAAGATGTTCTTAGCTACTACCTTACACTTTCGAGGTGAAAATATCATTCCGAAAGAAGTTGGCCAAAAGTTAATTATCGACATGAAACAATGGTGGCGATTTTCTGACCTATCACCTACTGGATTTAAATGTGGGATTAACTATTGTCGTCCATATATTTTTGACGATGAGTCTGATCTTGCATTAACTGACAAACAAGTGTGTGCATTAACCAATGAGATGGCTACATCCAAATATCTTTGCGAGATGGGTTTGAATCAATCAGATGAATCTTACAAAACACAAGACGAACAAATAGAAGTCATCGAAGCGCTTGATTATTTGCAAGGACTGAGAAGAGATTATCAAGAGTTGGAAAGAGAGATTATCAACACCAATGACTTGAACTTGAACACTTCTTTTGTATAACTGCCCTATAGCTGCATTAGTAGATCATTCATACAGTCTATATTTAGTATTTTCATTATTGGGGTGTGTGTGTGGGTAGATGAGAGTGTGAGTGTTGGTCTCCTTTGAAGAAACAAACCACATCCACACTCATACTCGCATTTACATCCTATGTGTCCCTTTGTGGTCAGTCCTTTCGCGACACCCACATCGAGGGAGATGGCTTGTATATGTATCAGCTAACTACTTCACATTTCATTGGTGAAAACTGCATCGGTAAGAGAAAATTTTCTTTTTTGTATATGATTCTTTTAGTCTCGATAATCTATTTCGTTTCTGGAAGTTCAATTTCGATTTCTGGTAATTCATGTGGTCTCCGGAAACTCATCTTGAATTTCTCGAAATCCGTTTGGTTTTCAGAAAGTCATTCACTTTCCTGGAAACTCGTATAGGGCATCATATGGATATTTCAGTGTCAATATTTCTCGATCAGTCATTAAAGTTTTCCAAAACATTTAAATTCTAAGCAACACTTACGCATTTTAAAGTCTATACATAGTAATTATTAGTGCAACAAAAGATATTGTTTGATTGAAACATTTTTCATTTTCGATCAAATACTATTCTCAGCTGATATTAAGTCTCCAAACAAACTATTGTATTAATCATGCAGAAAGCTTTTTAGTTTATGTTTAATCATATCAAACTGCAAAGTACGAACCACTTACTTAAACAAATTTTAGTTTGATTGATCCTATTCAGTATAGGTTTTTATCAAAAAAATGTATTAATCACATCATTCATTCATTCAAATCCATTTTCACAATAGAAAAAAGAAGAAAATTTTTATTATTCATGCGAAATTACTGTAGTATCACCTTCTTGGGTTTTATTGGAAGATGATTCCTTGTCTCGAGGAGGAGCCTTTTTCATCGGAAATGTAATATTTTTTTCATCCGGCCAAATTGGAACATTATTAATATTGTTCTGAAGAACTTCTGGTCGACTATAGTGCCCAGCTGAATCTATGAAAACTTTGATTACGCCAAGTTGACTAAGATCAATTTCACCGATAACGAGTTTTTGTTCTAAACCTTTGTGAGGTCCAGCAAGGTATATATTGAAAGGATGAAGGATTCCGCTTATTCCACCTCCAATCTTGATTAATTCTTGTTTACCTAATTTAGTCTCCATCCAATCAAGACAAAGTTGATCAACTGTATTCGACGCATATATTACCCAACATTGGCCAGTTAGTGCGTGATTTTTCATCATGGCATCAATCTTAATTAGTATATCATAGATAAGAAAATTTTGACGATTAATATTTCGACAGAAAAGTATTGAATAATAGAAACTTGGAAAAAAAAGAACGTTTTCGGAAACGAAATTTCGAAGAACAATTGCTTTTCAGCAAACACTACAATGTTATTGTTATCTCATTTATTTAGTCGAATGGAATATGTTGTTTTCATGTAATAAATTGTTGAAACTAATAAAACTTGAACTTGTTGGGACGACGGATTCTATCTTTTTAAAAGTTAACAATAAAATTTACTAAATCAAGTTTTTCAATGAACGCTCACTTCTCATAGAAAAAAATATTTCAGCTAAGTACTGTATACTAAGAATAGATTTGGTCTTATCTATATCTTCTTTATCTTTTGTATACTTGAACAAAGCTCATGAAGTGTCTGTTCGGTATATTACTATATCCAATGTCATAAATTTGAAATATACTAGAGTTCCCTTATGATACGATTCCATTCACTCTGCTTAAGTTTAAAAAAAATTGATACTCAACACTTTAGGACTTTTTGTAATGAAACATTTAAAACATTACCTGTACGTCGGCCAATTCTTCAAGTCCAACCATGGCACTTAGAGCAGGCCATGCGCCTGCATGAATTTGTTCGCCTTGTTGGATAAGTGCTTGCCGCGCTCCATTCATAGCATTACCCCAACAGGGTAAACCGCCAAGAATGCCATGTTTTGAAGGATAGGTACGCAAAGTGTAGCCGCCTCCGTTTGCCCAAATAATTTTTTCAGCACCTGTTGGTTGAAGTTTTCGATGAATTCCCAGAAGTGTGCCATCATTTTCGATGAAGACTTGAGAATTAAAGCACGTATGAGTGCCTGACATTCGCTCAGAAATACCCAAAACAATGCACACCCCATAATCACGACAGGCTGCTTGAATACTGTTGATTTCTGGTCCGAAGATCTCGACAGACTGTTCAATATATTCGGCGAGTGCTGCTGATTGAGCATAAATCGGATAACAATTGATGAAATATGGATAACCAGGAATAAATGTCTCGGGAAAAACGAGAAGCTCGACCGATGCTTCTTTTGCTTCTTTGATGTATTGAATGACCCTTTCAGTCGTTGCAGCCTTATTCATAAAAATGGGTGCAGCATGAACAGCTGCTGCTTTGAATGGTGTAGGCATTGTTGGTATTGCGTGCTTTTATTATCTAAAAAAACTAAAATTATATGCTTATTTTTGTTCATATCTATAAGACTATGCTTGACTTAAAACAAAAAATTGGCATTCAGAATGAAATGGTACAGATACATCATTTTCGAGGCATCAAATTCGTGTGTCTGTTCTCCCTTGTTTTTTTTCTTATGTTTGCTTTAATTCATTTCTCTTGCTTGAATATCACACATGCAAAAAGTAACCTTTTGCATACTTTTTAATTTGTCGCACATGGTGCGATACACGACTCATATCTTCGACTTGATATGTGTTCGTATCCAATGTATGTTTTTCTTTTTTCTCTCTATCCTCCATTTCAAAGGATTTATCTTTCTAATTCAAGCCACTAAAAGTTTTTGCACAGCTTACTAATGACATTATTTATATTAAAGCACTATTCTCAGTAGTTTGCGTATTTGTCAATTACGTTTCAACAAAGAAGAAAAACTGTTATTTAAAAACAGATTCTTCATTCTATTTTTTGCAAAACTAATCGACTTTCATAGATTGTTTATTTTGAATCTATTGGAACCAATGGTAATCTCGTAAATTACTTTCAGAGTGATTTAATTCGAGTTTAATCCAATATATCATGAAAATTTCATTTAGCCGTGTGTTTAATTTACTACGGGGTATATTTTGTGTCTAAAGAACGGTATCGGCACTGTCCAAGTAGACAAAATTTCTCAAAAATGCATGTGGAAACAATTAGTTGTGCAGTTACCAGAAAATTCATTTTTCGAGCGTGAACGAGTATTAGTTTTTATTTTATTGAATATGTATAGATGTGTAAATGCTGAGATTTGTTCTCAGGGTTTTTATTTGTGTTTCAAATCATGCATTTATATATCAAGAATGCACCGCGAACTGAATTGTTTTATTCGCGATGTTTAAATCAAAATTTAAGGCCGAGCACGCGACAGTAAAAATGTCAATTGAAACATGGAAGTTTACATTTCACTTCAATGCTATTGAAGTAATAAATCAAAGCAATGATTTAGTTATTTGAGAACAGAACTGAACACAGTACAACTTTTTCTGTCCTATTCCACTGTCTTTTTAGTTGTCTTATAGCTAATTCATTTCGTATCATTTTCAAATACAACAGCTAAATGTGCCGATATTGATGACACGGTTCGATGATTCTCCTTCTTTCCCTGTCTGTTCTCTTTCCGTTGTTCTAATATATCTCTCTCCTGTCTCTCTTCTATCTCTCTCCTATATATATGTGTGT